TATTTTTTGGTTGCAGCCGTCATTGTTGTTTTGGCGGGTCCGGGCTGGGGATTCGAACCCACCACCTTAGGTGTACGTGGCTGGCGCCTTAGCTGGTTGAGCTATAGGCACCGAGCCAAGCGGGACGTCTTGTCACCCTACTATAGGCCCAGCTACCCTGGAGGCTGAGGCCAGAAAATGGCTTGGGCTAGGGGGAATTTGAGGCTGCAGTGAACTATGATGATACTACTGTACTTCAGCCTAGACAATAAGTGAGACCCTGTCTCAAAAAATAATAAATGAGATTTGTTTTTTTTTTTTCACCAAGAACATGGGCATATTTAACTCCTTTTTTTCTTTTCTTTTTTTTTTTTTTTTGAGGTAGTGTCATTCTTTTGCCCAGGCTAGAGTGCTGTGGCATCAGGCTAGCTTACTCTAATCTCAAACTCCTGGGCTCAAGTGATTCTCCTGCCTCAGCCTCTAGAGTAGCTGGAACTATAGGCGCCCACCACACCCAGCTGATTTTTCTACTTTTACTAGAGAAAGAATCTCACTCTTGCTCAGGCTGGTCTTTAACTCTCCTGAGTTTAACTCTTGAGTTTAAGGGATCCTCCCACCTGGGCCTTCCAAAGTGTTAGGATTTACAGACATAAGACGTTGTACCCGGACTTATTTTATTCTTAATAGAAACTATTTTGGTAAGATAGACATGAACTGGGCTGTCTTCCTTTCAGGTTCATGTAGATGTTCACAGTCGTTACAATTCTGTCGCCAATGAAACTTTTTGCCTTGAGATCATGGATAGTTTAAGGAGATGCTTAGGTCAACAAGCTGATGTTCGACTCATGCTTTATGAGGTAAGTCAGTAGAATGGAAGGAATGTGGCAACCTCCCAACTAATAATTCCTTTTAAAATTATTTTTCTGATTATAAAAGTATAGCAGATACACTGCTTTGATGTAGTTAGGACCAGTAAGTAAGTAGTGATATTTAAAAAGTTAAGTGTGAGGAATCATAAATAATTGATGCACTTTAAACATCTTAATTTGAAATATTTAAATGTATGCTGGTCTTTTAAGATCAAGTTCTTGTTTTTATTTTGTTTTTGAGTATGAATTTAGCATTTGGAACACCCTTCATATAAACTGAATAGGGACTGGACTGTCAATGGAAAAGAAGCCATATTCTGTACAGTAATTTAAATAAGTTTATTCTGAGCCAAATTTGAGGTCCAAGACCTGGAGCCACACTCAAGGAACCTTGAGGACCTGGACTCAAGGTGGTGGAGGACACGGTTTGGTTTTATACATTTTAGGGAAACCGGGTTTACAGGGTGAGGTCATAAATCAATACATGGAAAACATACATTGGTTTGCCCCAAAATGGTGGGACATCTGGAAGTGGGAGCTTACAGGTTATAGGTGGGTTAGGAGTCAGTGAAAAAGAATGCTAGAGACATAGTACTGGACAGACTCAAGTGTTTGTTGTGTATATTGAGGACCTGCATGTAGCTCTTACAGAGCTTTAGCCTATGAATGAGTCACAGAGGACATGTCTGGGGGAAGGGGCATGATGAGGTATGGCTAGCAACTCAGTTTTAGGGATCCTTTTGATCAAGAAGGGGTCCAGTCATTCACTGAGGGGGGAGCCTTAAGACTTTAGTTCATAGGACAAAAAAAGGGGCTTCAAGGGATATAGGACAGAAGCCTGGCTTGCTGAATAAGGACATCTGGAGGGGCCTTGGAAACATTATGGGAACACTGACTCAATTAACCAAGCATGTCCTGCACAAAATATAGCTTCCATCATTTGGATATGGGATGAATGGGTACAAAACACTGCATACCACAAATACCCCCTAAGTACTGATAAAACCAACAGATCAGCACTTAGCAGTTTTCCTCCACAAAGGAAAGAATGTGAGTACGAGGTAACCAAGTTAATCAATGACTAGTACAAAAGCGGAAAATGTGCTCAGAGACACAGAAAGACCAATGAGAAAGCTTCACAATTTCAAAAGGGAGAGAAAAAGGATATTTACACTTTTACACTGCCTTTGGGTCAGCATATCTCTTCTCTTTAGAGAGTCTCATTTCTTCTCTGGAAATTTTCTTTGCTTTTTAGGCTTAAACTTTGTTATGCTTAAGTCTGTGTGAATTTACTTTTTGATTTCTATTCATACTGCTCACCCTGCTCTGTTGAGCTTCTCCTACACTTTTGCTTTTTATTAGTGCCACTCCAGGCTTGCCACTAGGTCAGCCCTATAACCAAACTAGGTCAGTTGGGTTGGGGAACCAGACACTGTAACACCAACACAAACCATGAATTTAATTTATTGCCTACAATTAAAATGTTTTGTCTAAAGTGGTATAAAACTTTAGAATTCTTAGGTACAGTCTTAGTGTAGAAATCTTTCATTGAGTTGAGTTTTATTCCTAACTACATAAATGTCTTACTTCTTCCTAATCAGAAATTGGTTTTAGAGACTGATTTTTATTCTTTCTAAAACATTCGACTTAGTCTTTTTATTTTTTTATGGTGATCTTTTATCAGTTATCTTCAGTGTTTCTGTTAATTATAGCAGCTTCTATATCACCACTTGGCTGCTTTACCTTGCACACTTGCATGTTATGGAGATGGCTTCTTTCTGTAAACCAACCTTTGCTAGCTTCATACTGATGCAGCTTCCTCCCTTTCTTAGCCTCACTGAATTGAATTGAAGAGAGGGCCTTCCTTGCTCTGGATTAGGCTTTGATTTATGGAAATGTTGTGGCTGGTTTGATCTCCTATCTAGACTACTAAAACTTCTTACATATCAGCAGTAAGGCTGTTTTGCTTTCTTATTATTCACGTATCCACTGGAGTAGCATTTTAAAGTTTGGCTTCATAAATTTTGGCTTTGCATTCACAACTTGGCTAACGGGTACAAGAGGCCTTGCTTTTGGTCTGTCTTGGCTTTCTGCATGCCTTCTTCACTAAGCTTAAACATTTCTAACTTTTATTTTTTTTTAAAGACATGCAACTCTTCTTTTACTTGAACACCTGGAGGCCATTGTAAGGTTATTCATGCAATTTCAATATTATTGTGTCTCTCGGAATAGAGAGGCCCAAGAGAGAATGGGAGGAAAGATAGAAAAGAGGAGATAGGGAATGGCCCAGAACATAAGCAACATTTATCAATTACATGATTTGTGGTTCATGGCTTCCTGAAACAAATAATTTTTTTAAACAGCTTTTTTTGGTCAATTCTCATTTGCTTTTTCTTTTCTTTTTTTTTTTTTTTTTTTT